TTTTTTAAATATAGATAATACATGCTAAAAGCATTCTACCAATGAATAGAAGGAAATATAACGATACTCACCGTTTAATTTCGAGGTAAATAATGATATGCTCGACTTTTATGTCGAAATGAAAGTGACAATTAATTTGACATAATTGACATAAATAAATATCAATCAAATGTTTAGTAAAGTCTGTTAGGCTTGACTTGGGAGCTTACAGCTGCGGCCCGTGAGAGTGGCTTTGTCTCGGCATCAAGAAAGTTTGTCAATATCACATTGCCCCAAATTTCAAAATAATTTTCATCTTCGATATTTTTTGATTTTTTTTTCAAGAATATTCGCCTTCTTTTTTTTGAAATATAAAATGATCTCATTTAAAAATTTTGGGATGATGAAGCTTTTAGTGTTTAAATTTGTTTTAGTTATCAATTTGATCTTTTAAATTTAAATTTTATTAATTTAGTCTCTTAAATTTTTCTCAATTATCAATTTAATTTTTATTGTTTAACTTTATTCATGTCAGTAAATATTAAATATACTGACATGGATTAGGGAATATTGATGGTAGCCTTGAAAATTAATAAAAAAATGTCATTATATTTAGGTAGAAGAAAACATACTCAGAAATTCTTAAAAACAAAACAACAAAACACTAATAAGAGATTAAATTGATAAAAATTAAATTGATTTGAGTTTGAGGGCTAATTTGTTCTCATTTAGTTCCATTTACATATGGCAAGTCATCAATATACTTTATATATTATATTAATTTAACAGTTAATTTGTGTTTTAAAACTAAAATGACTAATATGATAATTTTAAAAAACTTAAGGGACCACATGATAATTAAGGAAAATTTAAGGGACTGAAATTTCATTTTCCCATTTTCACAGAGAATTGTCAGTCAATCCGACAATAAAATTAATTAACAATAATTTTTTAAAATTAAATTATTACCAATATATAAATATTTTGAAAAAAATATCATAAAAGTAAATTCTCTTTCATTTAGGTACACATAACTCATGGTGTGAACATGTATAATCCGCGTAGAAGGGGAAAAAAGAAAAAGGACATTTAACGTGGACAAGAAAAATTATAAAGTTTGTTTCCTGAAAGAACATGCAAGAAAGAACATTTAATGCTGTCTTCTCTCTTCCTTGCAGGATTGGATCCTTTGGAACACACAAAATGACTTGGAGGATCAAACACGAGAAGAACTTGATGGCAAAGACGTGCTTTTCACTCTTGTGTTAGAATATTTGAAAGGAAAGATGTGAAGCAATCTATTCGGAAGAAGACTCTCAATATCAGAGACATAGCCTCTCTTTGTATTCATGACATAATTAATGACATCAACCTTCAATCCAGACTTGGTTACATGTCTTGAGATTATAATAGATCCCAAGCAAAATGGTTTTTACTAAGCCTTGGATAGGTTAGATTTGATATTGATGGATCAATTGACGTCCATGATGCTACCATTTGTGGAGGCTTACTCATAATAACCAAGGAAATTAGATTATAGGTTTCTCTAAATATCTTGATTATTATCTTAGCACTATTGCTGAACTTTTGACCATTATATTCTTGAAGGCCTTATCCTTTGTTAGAATAGCAAATTCACCAAGGTCAATATCTACTTAGATTTCCTTGAAGCTCTCTTGCTTATTTAACACGATTATACCTAGGACTATCCTCTCTCTGATACTATCAAAGATTATAAATCTTACCATGAGAAACTGCATAATAACTTTCAATTGTATTTTTTGAGAATCAAATAAATATAATAATTGGCTTGCTCATCAGGTTTCGAGCACAAATTTTCACTCTACAATTTTTGTTAACCCACTTGTAAGATGTGGGAGTCTTTTTAAGCTATGATATGACTTAATTATTGTACTTTGCACCGTTTATCGTGGCCTTTTTATTAAAAAAATTGCCAGTCCTTTTTTTTTTGGGAATAACATGACCAAGGTTAAAATCATAGAAGAGGAAATACAAAATTAGTTAAGGTCGAAAAGCAAAAATTCCCTGCTCTCTAAAAGAGAATAATTTAAGATAGCAGTATCCCGACTATTAAGGACTGTTTGGTAAGCAAGTCCGTCTGCATAATTGTTTGCTTTTTCTAAAGGTGTTGGTCAATCAAGAGTGACAGTCCAATCCTTCATGATAATTAAGGTCTCTAAAGATGTTTGCTTTTCCATAACATTATATTCTTTCCGGCACACATGGATACATTATAGACACTGAAGATAGGAAAATGTGATATGGTACATCATATATAGCAAAATTTTCATAATCTGGCATTAAGTTCATATATATAATTAGATATATGCTTGCGTGCGTGCGTATAATTAAAGTTATTCTTTTGTAAGGACATTCCACTTTGTAGCAGTGGAGGATCATTCCTTCCATTCCACTGAAGTGTATATAATTGTTGCCAAATTTCTTTAATAAGATATTCTTTATGGAAAAAAATAATGATTAAATAAAATAAAAAGAATCTTTTGAAACAAATTCATGGAAATGATATTTTTCTCCTCACTTTACCACTCATCACATTTCATCCTCATTTGGTATATGTACATTATGGAAGATATCCAAAATACATGTAGTTAAATTTGAATTTCTCAAAATTTAACTACTACATATATTGATGCAGAAAATATATCATAATTTCTTTTACAAGATTTTACATGTTGATTAACAAATAAAACAACCCAAAAGGTTGAAGTAATAGTAACTACAATGTTGGTTTAACAGCCATTATGTTCAACTATTTGTGCCACTAACGTTTTGTGGAAATTTTGTCCTTTATTTTATTCTTTTCAACGAGGCCACTATATCTGCTATATTAAGACGTGCCACAGGTAAATCATTGCAACAATTCAAGGACAACTCAAAAATTGATGATATATGTGGTAATATATTATCAATATTTTGATTGTCCCCATGGAGCAAATTAGCATCTAGAATATTGGTGATTGAATGTGGTGATGAGTTGCTAACCCAATCTTTCAAACTTAGAGCTTGAGAAAACATATCATCAGTTGGCTTCTTCCTTGTAAACATTTCCATGAACAAAATAGCATAACTATAAACATCTCCCCTTTCAAGGAAACTACTCTTGATCCATACTCTACTAGGTCAAGTTGAATGGTTATTAGTATGTAGCACATTATGTAAATATATATAATATATATTGCTAAATGTTTCTTTTATATCATTACTCTTCATATGTGATAATGGCAGATATTTGTTAGTAGTCAAATCATATAAATGTTTACAAGGAAACAAACAAAATTAAATTAAATAAAACCAAGATATCAATATTAAATCATTAGCTGGAGCCATATAGCCGATTGTAGCAAAAGTTTTGATATAAATTTTCAACTGTCTTTGACCAAAAAGCTTGGTAATAACAAAATCACTAAGATGAGCACTACCATATCCTCATCCAACAGAATATTGCTTCGTTTAGCATCACACTGAACAACTAGTGTTGAAGAACCATGATAAAGATATTCTAATGTAGCGGCCACATCAATAATTATATCCAACCTTTGCATGATATCTAAACAATAGTTGTGAGAGTTCATTTTAAAGAACTTATTTTATGATTGTAGCTAACTATTATATGTATAAAAATAATTAGACATAAGTATAGTTAACTAATTTATATTGGTCATTATCAAAACTTAAACTAAATATAATGTCCTAATAACATTATAACTACAGTTATGGTAAATTGTGGCTGTAATTCCTATTTTTTTTTCAAAAGAACCACTTAAGTATGCTTCACATCCCTTGCTTACAAAACTTGTATAACTATATAAACAGTAGTTCCAGGGACCGGTACAAATATATCAACTAAAAATCTACATTTTCAATACAAATATCTAGAAAACATCTACTCTAAAGTTGTTAATTCTAGGAAGAAACTAGACCAAATATTGCATATATATCTCATCTCTTGCTTAGAATATGATTCTAAACTTTTGAAATATTGCATATTCAATATGTGTGTGTGTGTGTGTGAGAGAGAGAGAATAATAATTCAAGTATAGGGCAAGTTTCAAAATATAAATCATTAATAACAAATTATTACCTCATCAAATGAATGGGTAATATCTTTAATGATAATTTCATACATGAAAAGTATTACATTATAACCACATTCTTTGGCCAATTGATTCTTTTATTATTAATCGCAAGTTTAATTTCTCATCTCATCTTTCTTTTTTGTTGTCTTTATTTTCTTGTTGCTACCACATCATATACAACTTAGATATAGAACACTATTGTCATTGTTTCTTTGCAATTAACATAAGATATAATATGTATTTCACAGTGTGACACCAACATTTAAAAGATTTACTTAGATAAACTAGTGGTTAAGAAAAACTTGTTCATATGGGATCACTTTTTTTTTTCTTTGTCAAAAACTTCAAATAGAACACATTGATCTCATTCAAGTGAACCCCATATTAATTGTTTGTATTTGCTCTTAAGCGAAATTGAAACTTCCAGCACCAGATGAGTAGTTTCTTGAGAAATCTGTAAGCATAATTTTGTGGTGTATACATATACTTCTTTCTTTCTTAATTTATTTTTTTCCCGAAAAAAATTTACACCAATGTACATTCAATTAATTTGAAAATAGATAATCCATATAAATTAACAACCTACATCATATATCAAATATATTAGTGAAATTATGTTTAGCATTTCCAGATCTAGTTCCAATGTGTGTTCTTAATTAGTTTTTCATTTCATTTTTACGGAACTTATCATTATTTATTTAATAGGTTTCTCACAAGATAAAGGAAGAAAATTCCATCGATAATTAAAAATTGATGATAGACTAGATACAAAATTAAGAGTGGTAAAGCAGAGAACAAAAATTCACGAAACGTTTCAATCATAACAAAGTCGGTTCAAATAATACTAAACATCCACGTTCTAAATTACAAGTCTACATGTCCAACAAGAAGAACTAAAAGGGGTAAATAAACAATAACTGGAATTTGATCTCACAATTACTCAACCAGTGCGGCTCTAACATTTTTTAAAAATGAGACCTTAAATTTTTTCAAGAATACTACAACATCTGTCATATTAATTCGTGTCTCCGGTAAATCAGCACAACAATTCAAGGCCAACTCAAATATTGATGACACATGTGACAATATTTTGCCAATATTTTGATTGTCTCCTTGCAGCAAATTGACATCTAAAATGTTGATTATTGAATGAGGAGTTGATTTGCTAACCCAATCCTTCAAACTTAGACTTTCATTAAACAGGTCATCTGTTGGATTTTTCCTCGTCAGCATTTCCATGAGCAAAATGCCATAACTATACACATCTCCTTTACTAGAAATAGCTCCTTTTGATCCATACTCTACATGTCAAATTGAATGTTAAGGAAAAAATGTCACTCATGTTAAAAAAAGAAGAAGAGCTGCCTAGAGAGAAACAAATACTATATAAGCTTTATGAATAATTTTCATAATAAAATATAAGTTTAAAAGCTATAATATGATTGATAAATAATCACCTGGTGCCATATAGCCAATTGTAGCCAAAGTCTTGGTGTAAATTTCTGATTCTGTGTCACCTAATAATTTGGCAATACCAAAATCACTGAGATGTGCCACCATATTTTCATCCAATAAAACATTGCTTGGCTTCACATCACAATGAACCACTGGTGTAGAGGAACCACTATGAAGATATTCTAGTGCTGAAGCCACATCAATCATTATATTCAATCTTTGAAAAATATCCAAGCAATAGTTATGAGAGTACAACCATTTATTAAGACTTCCATTTGACATAAACTCCATGATTAATGATTTAAAATTATCATTAGAGCAGCTGCTTATGATGCTGATGAGATTGCGGTGACGTAAATTGCATATGGCAGTGCATTCTGTATCAAAACTCTTCCATGCCTCTTCCAAGTCAAAGTTAAATATTTTAATAGCAACTGTCTTTCCATTTGACAATGTTGCTTTGTATACTGATCCAAAACTTCCCCTTCCAAGTAGATTACTTTCATCAAACCTATTTGTTCCTTGTAGAATTTCATAATAGGATATTCTTATTGGTATCTCCAAATTCATTAAAACCGCATCGGTTGAATCATTAGCATGTTTTCTCTTATGCTTTAGAAAGACTATGCATGAAACAACCAAAATGAAAACTATTATAGGCACCAAGCATATGATCAAAAGCATCACTTTATTTGACCTATGCTTGTTTTCTTTTCTACATGGTTGGATATGAAGTTGGGGCCTTCCACAAAGATTTTCATTCATCATAAAAGATTCAGCTGTAAAATTTTGGAAAGGCCCACCATTTGGAATTTCTCCATATAAGAAATTGTAGGAAAGGTTAATGTACTTCATATAGACAAGAGACTCTAAGGACTTTGGAATCACACCAGACAAATAATTTTGAGAAAGATCCAAGAACTCAATACTTATCATGCCACCAAGTGATTTAGGAATAGGCCCCTGGAATTTGTTGTGAGCCAAAGATAGGTTCAACAAAGTCTTCAAGCCACCCATAGATTCAGGGATGTTTCCTGAAATTTGATTTCTTGATAAATTCAAGAGTGTAAGTGCCCTCATGTTTGAAATCTCAAGTGGAATTGTTCCACTCAATGTATTGGAGGACAAATCTAATTCCATGATATCTTCAAGACTCCAAAATGAGGAGGGAATATGAGAAATCAATTTGTTAGAGCTGAAATCCAACTTTCTCAAAGAAGATAGATTCCCAAGACATGCGGGGATCATTCCTGTAAACATGTTGCCAGCTAGATCCAACTCACTTAAACTTTTGAGTTGACAAATTTCATCAATGATAGACCCTTGCATTCTATTGTAATAGAGACTTAAATATTGAAGGCTTTGTAGTTTGTTGATTGCAGTAGGAATCAACCCATTGAAGTTATTCCAACCAAATTCCATTGTCATCAAATTGGTTAAATTCCCAAGTAAATTGGGTATAGCTCCACTAAATTTATTTGATGCTAAAACTAACTCAGTGAGCTTAGAAGCATTTGAGATACTGTTGGGAATTTGTCCAGTAAGTTCATTTCCCTCCAAACTCAATAAGTTTAGGTTGGGAAGGCCACTTCCTAGATATGATGGCAAAAGGCCAGAGAGGAAGTTAGTTCCAAGGTACACATGTATCAATGATGAGATGTTGAATATGGTGGAAGGTATAGGCCCATGCAAATAATTATCTGCCAAAGCTAACTCTTGAAGTTTAGCAAGATTTCCTATGCCCTTGGGTATAAAACCTGGAAATACAGAATGTTGAGATAATTGCTTTAAGAGCCTGGACTAGCAAAAAGTAAAGGAAAAAAAAGTCATATATGACCTTCAAAAAACATTAAGGTAACATTTGGATTGGTGGATTTAGATTTAAATTTTAGATTTAAAATCTCACACTTCAAAACTCACATTTAAATAAATCATTTTCTTGGGTAGCTAAAAAAATTTCAAATGAAAAAAATAAATGAATTGAGATTCGAAATGAAAATAGAAAATTTATTTCAATCGATGAGAGGCAATAACGAAAAATGAGAAAAGATATGAGGGTTATAGAGGTGTAAATAATAAAAACTTGAAGATAATAAGAGGTTTGAAGTAGCTTAAATTTCAAATGACTAAGGTGTAAAGGGAATTTGAAATTATAAATTAAAGGAATTATAATATGAAATAGATTTTTATAAATTTTTGTATATTTAAATAAGAGATTTAGTTCAAATCCAAATCCTCGTTAATCCAAACATATCATAAATAAAGTGACAAATACATATGGTGTAATCTATGTCTGAAATTTTATTGTTATACTGCTACATCCTAGTCTATTTATAAAAAAAATAAATGATACTTAAATTTTAAGTATTACTTGTTTCTTATTAACTGGCCTGTCTGTAGTAATAATTAAATTACTACATGGTATAATTAAGAATTTGAAGTTAAATTTTGAAGTTTACTTTATTTATTTGCACATTTTCATGTTTGAATAAAATTATGAGTTGACATATATTCCAAGAGTAAAAGGGCATACCTGTAAATGAGTTGACATCCAAAAATAATCTTGTTAAAGATGTGCAGTTACTTAATGATTCTGGAATGCTTCCTTCTAATTTATTATCAACGATCTGGATGGCTTCAAGTAATGGGAGTCTTTGGCACATCTCTTCTGGTAGATTACCATGAAAATGATTGTGGGAAAGTTCAAACCATTTTAAAGATGTGCAATTACTTATTGATTTTGGAATTTTTCCCTCTAATTGATTCTCAGCAACTGAGAAGATTTTAAGAAAAGAGAATTGACGGCACATCTCTTCTGGCATATTACCATATAAATTGTTCTTGGAAAGGTCAACAATTGTCAAAGAAGGCATGTTAAATAGAAGTTTTGGAATTTCACCTATAAAAAATACACAATTTATGGAAGTTAATTAATGATGCATAAAGCTAGAGTCCTATTATATATGCTACGTTATTTGGCATAAAAAGACAAGACTAAAACGTTGTTAATACAAAAAATCTAATATGGCATGATAAAAATGATGTTGAAAGTCAAACCTGAAGCTGTAGACACGTAAAAAGTACAAGGTCAGGCAAAAATATTGTATACACAAATAGCATTTAGAAATAAAAAAATTGAGAACACAGTAGTACTCTTATAACAAGGATAGGAGAGAGTATATATCAGGTGTGCAAGAATTCCTATTTATACTAAATGAATTAAAGTATTTTGAGTTAATTTTTGTAGACAAAATGAAAAAAGCTCTTTCATTCACAAACAACCATGCAAAGAAGAAATGAAATTTGTAAAAGCATAAATTTAATGGATGAACAGATATTGAGCCCACCTGTGAAGGAATTATGACTTAAATATAAGTATTCCAGCAACGTCCAATTGGCAATTGATATTGGAAGAGTACCAGCTAAATTGTTTCCCCATAAACTTACTTCTCTTAAAGAATGGATATTGAAGAGAGATGATGGAATTTCACCTGTTTACAATTTTGAGGTAAACAAAAACGTCATATTTAATTTATAGTTACAAATCTTTGACATTATTGATGATTTTTAATGCTAAAACACACACACACACACACACACACACACAAAAGATAAACACTTAACATATGATGGATATGCCAAAAAAAAAAAAAAACAAAATCATACCTTCCAAATTGTTGTTGTCAAGATATAGGAATTGGAGGTTGGTCAAATTTCCAATATCATTTGGTATATATCCTTTGTTGAATCCATTATTTGATAATGACAAATCTATCAATTCCTTGCATTGGTGCCAAACGGAAGGTATTTCACCGGATAAATCATTTGCAAACACCTGAAATTTTTCAAGTTTCGGAAGCCCAAAACACATTTTTGTTGGGAGACTCCCAGAGAGATTATTATAATTAAGCTCAATGACTTGAAGCATTGAACTATTAAATAATGAGAATGGTATGGAACCAGAAAGCTGATTGTTTGAAAGATATATCATTTGTAGCTGTGGAAGATTGCCAATTTCATTGGGAATGCCTCCTTCAAAAAGAAAAAAAGAAAAAAGAAAAAAACAAAGAAGAGTCCATATCAAACTTTATAGCACGCATGCATGCGCATCATGAGTTGATCATGATAGGAGCTGGAGATAAACTTATATTGCTCATTTTTAAAAACAACAGTTGAAAAATTTTAAATGATAAAAAAGAATTACATTCACTTTCAAAGATCAATTAATGACCCTTCCCAATCTGATTGAACTAACTGTTGGAAAATGTTCTGAAGACAAAGTTAAGAAAAAAAGAAGAAGAAGCAATTCCAGATTGTTATATTGATTTATTGAGAAACAATAAAAGCTGATGAGTTGCCAAATTTATCCAAGAAAAAAAAATGAGCTGCCAAAAGGTTAAAAGAAAATTCTTTCACTATCCTTAGGGTAAAATATCATCAACAGACTTTTCCAGAGGAAAAAAAACATACATAAACTGTACATACCTGACAAATAATTCTTCGACAAATTTAACAATTCAAGTGAAGATAAGTTGAAAATTGTTTGAGGAATGATTCCTGAAAGTCTATTGCCTTCAAGATATAAGGCCTTCAAGCTTCTAAGTCTTCCCACCTCAAGTGGAATGGTCCCTTCACGTGAATTATAATTTCCATTCAAGATTGCTAACCTCAATAGAATAGATTGGATATAGATGGTGGAATAAATCCACTAGAGCTATCATTGAGAAAATTGAATAACTAATCTAAAAAATAATTAAGTTTCCTTAAAAAGGAAACAAAAAACTTTCATTTTCCTTGTGGCATTTGCATTTATAGTTTCATATTTGAATTTTAAACTTAAAATCTCACATTTAAAATTCATATATTTAAATTTTGTTTTGGATAAAGCAAAAAATTTTAAAGGAAAAAAGATAGGCGAATTGAGATTCAAAGTGAAAACGAAAGAATGAAAACAAAAATCTTATATTTTTCAATTGATGAGAGACAAGAACAAGGGATTAGAGAAGAGGTAAGATTGACAAAAGCATTAACAGTGAAATATGAAAAGAACAAGAGGGTTGGAGTGGCTGAAATTTCAAATAAGTAGGGGTTTAGAAAAAATTTTAAATTATAAAGGACTTATAATTAAAATTCATTGATTTTTATGCATCCAAGTGAATAGCCCAAATCTAAATTCAAATGCAAATCTCCATTAATTAAAACTCAATATAAGGAATTGTAATACTAACCAAATAGTTTAGTATAGCACAAAAAAATATAGATCTTACAAATCATTAAAGGCATACCTGAGAAAGTGTTGTAAGACAAACTCAATATTTTAAGTGAAAATGAGATGGAAATTGTTTGGGAAATGATACCTGAAAGTTTGTTACCAGCAAGACGTAAAATCTCTAAGTTCTCAAGTCTTCCCACCTCAGGTGGAATGGTGCCTTCAATTAAATTAAAATTCCAATTTAAGATCTCCAACCTTGACAAGTTGAATATAGACATTGGAATGAATCCACTAAAACTATTATTGCGAAGGCTCAAGTGTTGTAGTGTTGACAACTCCCCTATCCATGCTGGAACCTCTCCATGGAATTCATTAAAGCTCAGGTTGAGTTGTTTCAATCTTCGCAATTGAACTAACTCTTTTGGCATTTCACCATGAAAGTTGTTGTCACCAAGATTAAGTTCAACAAGGAATGAGAGATTTCCTAATTTTGGAGATATCATGCCTGTAAGACCCATATCTCCAAGATTTAAAGAATGAATCCTTCCATGGCGAGTATTGCAAGTGACACCAACCCAATTGCATGGAGAAGAGGAGACAGACCAATTAGCTAAGAAATCATATGGATCTGAAGTGATAATGGATTTAAAAGCAAGAAGTGCTGATGTGTCGGTGGTGATATTTGTCTCACTACTCCAAGCTAAGGAGGCCATGAAGCAATGAAGTAAGAGAACAAAAACAAAGGAAGCAAGTTCTCCCATGTTAGTAAATCGGACTTAACAAAATTGCTCGGACTTAACAAAATTGCGAGTATTGAGCATAAGGTATCCTCACGCTTCATTTTTTATACTTCTCAAAAAATCCGAAAAAGCAAGTCAAGGGTCAAGCTCGGTGTGCAAATAATTTAACGCCAAGTTGCTCGCGGTTTGAAATTGAAAGCAGCATGAACTTTCATATATAGTTAATTAATTCTCAGAAAAAGGAATAAATTCATTGGATGACCATAATCGATTCAAGTCAATACTCATCACCCATCAATAAAAAAATATTTTTATAAATCAATATAGTATATAGTTCATATCTAGTTGATAAACAAATTTATTTTATTTTTAATCCTATTAATGTTAATAAGAAAAAGTAAATTATCAAATTATGTATATTTTTACTAGGAGCAAAGTTAGAAATTACTAAATTTTTAAATAGAGTTAATAAATTTTAAAATTTTCCTTAATTATATTCTAGTACAATATATCAAAACCTGAAAGTAATTTATAAATATAACCAGCAAAATTTTAGAGATAGAGAAAGATTTTAATTTAATTTAATTTTTAACAAACACACCTACCACAGATATAATATAGTATAAATTGTAACTAGGCACCTGCGTGCAAATAGTGCAATTAACCAAGTTGCTCGTAGTCTGAGTTTTTGGATGACCATAATCGATTCCATTCAGATTTCATACATTCGAGGGTCAAGTTTGGTGAGCTCTTTGGAGTATTCTGGAAACAACGTTGATAATGACATAATGTAACAAATTCTCATAAAAATTGTGCATAAAATTTTATATAATCTTACATTTTGTAAAGGGCATTTTTTCCAATGTTCTTTGTACAGTGTAATTTCCGTGATCTCCTTTTGCAGTGTTAAAATCCAGTTTGTTCTTTATTATTGTGGGGTCCTCATGATGTGAATTTTTTTTTTTTTAAAAATTCGGTGAGGTTGCGATTTCTGGTAATCATCATGTGACGGTTTAATATTAAATTACAAGTTTTTCACTATTGTAATCCCTTTAATACCCTTGTACAATGTTTGAATCTCATTACTTGCATAAATTTTTCTCCAATCTTCTTTCTGTATTGTAAAGTTGGTCCAGAACTACAATACCCTTGGACCAAACTCTTATTTTAGTCTACATTAATAAATTAGTTATTTAAAAAAGTAAAATTACAGATGACATTACATTTAAAAAATATTTTTTTTAAAAAAATTTGTTAAAGGATAAAAGAGAAAATTTGTTCTTAAATTATATTTCTAGGAGTGCCTGAGATCCTTAATTTATTTTTGATACAATATTTTCTTTTAAATTTTGAAAATTGTGCAATCAACCCTTTCTATTAACAAAAAGTTAACTTTGACAGTTAGTTGGTTAGAAAATAATAAAAAAATTATGGAAGAGGACAAAAATATATAGTAAAAGACTAAAAAATTATATATAAGGAACCAAAAAATTACAAAAAAGGAACTAAGAAAAATTTATTGGTCCTTTATTTTTTATAATTTTTGAGATCATTTTTTGTAATTTCTGATCAACCAAAGGTCAAAGTTTACTTTTGTTGATAATAGGGATTAGGTTGCACTATTTTTAAAAGTTGAAGGAGAATATTATATCAAAAATAAATTTAAGATCCTAGATGTTCCTGAACTTATAATGTAGGGGCTAATTTGTTCTTTTATCTTTTGTTAAAATATAATTGAGGTAATACATTTTTAAATGAAATAAGCATGGGTGATAAATTTTGGAGTCATTTATAGTTTTCAATTTTTAACATGTTCATATATAATAAAATTTAGAATTTACAATACAATGTGCTATCAAGTTTTTAAAATGAAAATACTTACCATATTTTAGACACAATTACTATTGTTTTTAAAATTTTCAAATTAATATTTATTAAATATGTTATTTTTTAGTTCTGACACTCTATTTGATTTAAGGGAATGGGGGGTGGATTTTAGAGACTTGGATTTTTTAAAAAAAATATAGAAGTGAGATTAAAAGTTTGTAATTCATTTTTCTTATTCTTTCATTTTGGATCTTCTCTCTATTAAAACTTTACAATTCTAATTGTTTATTTCTAAAAATTTAATTAATTAGAATCTTATTTCTTTTCATTCTTCCCAAACTAAATGGAGGATTAAATTTCCCATGCCATGAACGCGTCTAAAATCTAGTTTAGTATGTAGTTGATGCCTTCAGTAAAATTAAGATACTAGATTATTACTGAAAAGAGTGTGAACCGCAATTAGCAATGCAGCTTTTCTAGGTTCAGAGTATCATCATACTTAGGAAAAAGTTGCATTCAATTTATTAAAATTTTTCTTCTTTCTTTCTTTTTTTGCTGAATATAATTTACTAATTTTGTACTTTGAGAGTTGGAAAAGGTAGAAAGTGTGTGTGTGTGTGTGTATCTAAAACAAGAAGAGCGAGTCATGTAACTATTTATTTATTGCTTTTTAAATCATCATTTGATAGAAAGATGGGGTGGTAATGTAAATAATAGAAATTTATTACTATCGCCGCCACAAGGACAAAATTTTTCTGGTTTTTAGTTTCTTCGTTATCACTTTTGATCAGGACCGCTTCAATTTGTCGTCAAATTTAGAGGGCGTCTTCTCTTCCAGCCTCGCAACTAGCCACCATGCGTCACCATCAAAATGCGTACATTAGGTAAGGTTATCTCAAGTTCCTTTACTTCTTTCATACAAATATAAAAGCATCAAAGGCACAAATCTACTCTCAATATTTTCAGCCAGGCACGCCTATCATATTTTAAAGTTTTATCTAGTGCAGTTTTGCCCCAATGTTTTTCAATTTAGTACCATGTTGCCCTCGCTATTAATTGACTGTTAATTGACGGTTAATTTGTTAAATTTAATTGTTAAATGCCTTGCTGGATGGCCATGTAGGAGTACATGATATGTCAGAAGTCTTTTTCTTTTATCATTGCCACATCAATTTCTTTTCTTCTTCCTCTCAATCTGGAAAGCCTAAGCTATATGGATTTCAATCCAATGGCCAAAAACGGATAAACTAGAACAATCACGCCCAACAAATTAAGAAGACAAGGCAAGAACAATTAAGCAAAAGTAGAAGACAAGGAAGGGTAGGGAACTAGTACGATCATGTGAGGAAATCAACAAATCAAAATAAAATTTTACAGTGTATAGATTGTTAGATTAAAACACTTATAGACTCTCTCTGGAGGACTTCTCAATGCTAAAGATAGGAGGACGAAATGTGGTGGAGATGGACGATTGCCTGCAGAGAAGTATGAAGAAGAGTAAGATCAATGGGAATGAGACTGTTTTGAAGGATTCTTATGTGGATTGCCTGAAGGGTTTAGATCGGGAGGAGAAGGAGGGAAGAGATGAATCGAAGACGGAGAAAGTGCCTTTAGGAATTACTATTGTTGAACATGTTAGAGGAGGAGTGAAGATACCAGAATTCATTATCTCTGAGGAAGGGAAATGTAGGCTTTGTGCACTAGTTGAGCATGATTGTGAAATTGCTAGGTATGAGGATGGGGTTCGCAGGTTGGGTCTCAAGCTACAAAGTATGTGGGCAAAATTGGGAGTTATCTCAGTTGTGGATTTAAGAACAGTTTCTTTGTGGTGAAATTGTCTTGTTGGGATGATTATCTGAGAGCTTTGTGTGAGTGGCCTTGTTTAATTGCTGATTGTTATCTAACAGTGAGGGAGTAGAGAAGCAATTTCAATTCGATGACTGAGGCCATTGAAGATGTTTTGGTATGGGTGCGTCTTACTGATTTACCTTTGCATGATTATGATGGGGAACTGTTGGTGGCTATTGGTGATAGGATTGGGCATACTGTGAAATTAGATATCTCTTTGCGAGGATAAGGGTGCAGGTGGATCTTACTAAGGCTCTCTTACCTAGTTTTATTATAGATAAAAGAGAATATATAGTTGAATATGAGGAGTTGCATCAACTATGTTATTGGTGTGGTAAAATGGTCACATTGAGAAAGACTAAAAAGAGAAATTGGATGTGGAAGTGGCAAAGGATTCTGGAAATGAGGGTATTGGGGGAAGAAGCTCGGAGGAAATTCTTGGTCCTTGGAATTTGGCACAGAAGCTGAGAAGAGGAAGGAGACAGGGGTTTGACAATAGAGAGGGAGAGGGTTGTGTTTTAAGGGTGGACCTATGGGTTCAAAGTTTGAGGGATTAATATTAAGGAGGTTCAGGAGGGGTCTAAAGTTGCTACAATGATGATGCATGATGGTGTTAAGGAAGATGTGCCTAGATACAAATATAAGTCTACAAAGGATGATAGAACATGGGAAGAGTTGGCAGTTGAATGGAAGAAAGAGAGGCAATTGAAGGCTAGTGCAGAAATGAAAATTGTGTTTCAACAAAGAGAAAGAATTGGAAAAGGGGAGCATAGTAAGGAGGATATATCAATGGATAGGAATGAAGGAGATCTGGAGGTTGATATGACTAATAATTCTATGAATATTTATAGGGAGCCTCTTAGAGATGTTGACCAGAACATGCAACTAGTTTTGCATAAAGTGAGTGGAGAAAAGAGGAAATTTATTGGTGAAAGGGATGGCAAACCACCAGATGATGATGCGATAGAAGAGGAGGAATTTGTTAAAGCTGAAGTTCCTAATGAGGATTTTAATAGCTCTGTTATGCGCTTGGCTTAATCAATTTAGTTGGAATTTTATGATGTGTTAATGATGATAAAAAACATCTTAGTCTGGAACTATAAGGGTGCATGAGGTAAGGAGATAGAGCAGGGTGTTAAGATGATGATGGGAATGTATGACAGAGAATTTATGAATTTTTAAAATATGTAATAAACAATTCATCAATGAAGTAAATCAATAATTGAGAGAAAAATGGGTCAGCTATAAAAATTAATTAATATTATATTGTTAAATTATGGAGTAAACTTAACAAGAGATTTGGTGGTTTGGTGGAAATATTTCTTTCTCTTTACTAGCAGATTCCAAGGAGATGCATTTTATTTTGCTATATTG